GGAAATGAGGCTCAAGTTAGAGTACAAGGAAAAGGGGAAATTTTTTCCAGTAAAAGTAGGCCTTTGACAAGGATTTTTGATGTACCCTGGTTGTTTAAATATTTATAGATGGGGTTGTAAGAGAATAAATGTGAGGGTCTTGACAAGAGGCGGGAGTTAAAAGATAAAGAAACACAATAAAGTGGGGGTTGCACAGTTGCTCTTTGCGAGACACTGTGCTCTTGGGGGTTTAAGAGAAGTTGCGGATTTGGGGGTGAATTTGGTAGGGTGTGCAAAAGAAGAAAATTTAAAAATGAATACAGGAAAGAGTAAGGTTACGAGGATAACAAAAATATTAGGTGATTAAAGATTGGATATCAGATTGGAGGGAGAGAGTATGGAGGAGGTGAATGTATTCAGATATTTGGGAGTGGACGTGTCAGCGGATGGGTCTATGAAGGATGAGGTGAATCATAGAATTGATGAGGGGAAAAGGGTGAGTGGTGCACTTAGGAGTCTGTGGAGACAAAGAACTTTGTCCTTGGAGGCAAAGAGGGGAATGTATGAGAGTATAGTTTTACCAACACTCTTATATGGGTGTGAAGCATGGGTGATGAATGTTGCAAGGAAGAGAAGGCTGGAGGCAGTGGAGATGTCATGTCTGAGGGCAATCTGTGGTGTGAATATAATGCTGAGAATTCGTAGTTTGGAAGTTAGGAGGAGGTGCGGGATTACCAAAACTGTTGTCCAGAGGGCTGAGGAAGGGTTGTTGAGGTGGTTCGGACATGTAGAGAGAATGGAGCGTATCAGTCTGTAGTGGAAGGAAGGCGGGGTAGGGGTCGGCCTAGGAAAGGTTGGAGGGAGGGGGTAAAGGAGGTTTTGTGTGCGAGGGGCTTGGACTTCCAGCAGGCGTGCGTGAGCGTGTTTGATAGGAGTGAATGGAGACGAATGGTTTTTAATACTTGACGTGCTGTTGGATGTGAGCAAAGTAACATTTATGAAGGGGTTCAGTTAAACCGGCAAGCCGGACTTGAGTCCTGGAGATGGGAAGTACAGTGCCTGCACTCTGAAGGAGGGGTGTTAATGTTGCAGTTTAAAAACTGTAGTGTAAAGCCCCCCTCTGGCAAGACAGTGATGGAGTGAATGATGGTTAAAGTTTTTCTTTTTCGGGCCACCCTGCCTTGGTGGGAATCGGCCAGTGTGATAATAAAATAATATATATATATATATATATATATATATATATATATATATATATATATATATATAATATATATATATATATATATATATATGTATATATATATATGTATATATATATATATATATATATATATATATATATATATATATATATATATATATATATATATATATATATATATATATATATATATATATATATATATCCTTACAAGGTGTCTTACTCTGCCAAGACTCACTTACTTCCTAAGGTGCACACCCTCTTTTGACAACCCAATACTCAACGAATATGACTCCTGAGATCAATCTTTAAGAAGACACTGAATTTGTCACTGGAACATCAGCAATGGACTCAGGCAACCCTCCCAGTGCGACTGGGAGGTATAGGGGTGCACAAAGCAACGCAGGTAGCTTTACCTGCATTTCTGTTTTCGTGTTTGGGTTCCAGTGGATTACTTAAGGAGATTGTCCCTGAACGCTTGAGAGGTGTAGTAGGAGCTCAAGACCCCAGGTTCTTTTGAAACAATCGTATGGTGGGACACCCTTGCCGACGCCTCCAGTAGACCAGCTCCCCAAAGATCACAAAGAGTCCCACTGGGTCAAACGGATCATGACAGAAATCGCCAACACAATGCTCACCAATGCTTCAGGAAAGGACAAAGCTCGTCTCCTAGCGGTGAAGGCACCGCATTCAGATTTCTTTCTAGCTGTTCCCAATTCCTCTCTGGGCACTCGAATCGACCCAATGGCCATTCGAACTGGTGTTGCCGTTCTCCTATCCCGCCCCCATACTCACCGAACATAGGTGTACTTGCGGCAGGGCGTAGGCTGATCAATTCGGACTTCATGGAAGGATGCTAGAGATGAGGTGGTAAATGACATCATAAAGAAAACCCTCGCCATAGCCCTTTGCCCAGCTCAGTGAGAACCCCAAGTACAGAGGTTTGACGGAAGTCAAAAACGTCATGGTGGGGCCACTATGCTTCCCTGAAAGGATGGTAAGCAGATTGCCTGGGACTACATCTCTGCCTCCACATTGACAGACACCTTCATGCCATTCTCCGAAGCTGATGGGGGTTAAGCTGCCAGCCACAGGGAGACCCAGAAAACTCGCAAATATGAAGGCCTATGCCCCAATAGGGCCGGAGACCCTTGTAGGATGGGGCAATTGTTCTCTAAAGTTCCTCAAAGACCTGGGTGGAAAACTCATCGTAGAAACCAAAGACCAAAGGGCGGCCAGCTTCCTCTTTCAGAGGCTCAGTGTTGCGATCCAGAGGGAAAAATACCTGCAATATTCTAGGCACGCGGCCCACAGCAGGGGAGCTGGACGAAGTATTCGAGATGTAGCTCTGTATTTTTGTCAATGTATTTTATCTTTAAATAAAGTCTACATAGAATATAGGGCGTGGTAGGAGAAGACAGTATTCAAACAGCTTCAGGGAGAACCTTGAGTTTTCCATGAAGCAAGTTTATTCTTTTCTCTGAGGATGAGGGTCCCCAGCACAGTTCCAAAATATTCTTTTATGGGATGTTCGATAATTTTTTCATTGGCAACGATATAAAGATTTTTTATTTTTGGAGGAAACTTCACATAAAAACTACATCTACCCTCGCATTACCAGACTGATTTCCGCTGATTTATGGTATAATCTAATTTTCATTCTTGCTGAATTTGCCAAACTCGCCGATTCGTTTTAATCGGCACATATTTTTATGTGCCGTTTTAAGTAGAACTTTCGAAATAAGAGTTGCTAAGTCAGTAATGTATCTGTTCAAGTCACTGCTTCTCTCTAGGCTAGAACATTGCTCCATATTACCGACCTCCTTAGAGGCAGGCGAAAATGCTGAGAGGTAAAATGTGCAGAAAACCTTTTGAAGTCGTAAAAACTCAACCAAGTGCCTAAATTAACAAGAGTCCTTGAAGTCTCTTGAACTGTACTCCTTAGAATATGGGTCAGAAAGATATATGGTAATCTCCACCTGGAAGATTTTCTCGGGAATTGTCTCAATTCTGTTAGGTAAGACACATATGCAACAGTTAGGTATCTTTATTGTGAAACGTTTCGCCTACACAGTAGGCTTCTTCAGTCAAGTACAGAAAAGTTGATAGAAGCAGAAGATACTTGAAGACGATGTAATCAGTCCATCACCCTTAAAGTTTTGAGGTGGTCAGTCCCTCAGTCTGGAGAAGAGCATTGTTCCATAGTATGTCACACTATGGAACAACGCTCTTCTCCAGACTGAGGGACTGACCACCTCAAAACTTTAAGGGTGATGGACTGATTACATCGTCTTCAGGTATCTTCTGCTTCTATCAACTTTTCTGTACTTGACTGAAGAAGCCTACTGTGTAGGCGAAACGTTTCACAATAAAGATACCTAACTGTTGCATATGTGTCTTACCTAACAACCTGTCGGTATTTTATACCATTTTAATGTCTCAATTCTGCACACCGATATTACAACTTACAAGACACGAGGCTTGGCAAGCTGTAGGATATCTCGAATGAAAACCAGGGAATCAGTGAGTGCAATGAGAGAGAACTTGATTAATGTCAAGGGACCACGATTCTTTAACGCCCTTCCTTCTTGCATAAGGTGGATGACAACAAACCCCTGGTTGTCTTCAACAGGGAAATCGTCAAATTCCTCAAAACAGTTCCTGACCCCCAGGAGAGGCGCCAGGTAACTTCCAGGTAACCTCAGTCACTTACCACATATTCTCACTATCCTCTCAATCATCTACCATACACACTCACTATTAGCCCTGTCACATACCCCACAGCCACCATCATCCCAGACACTACTATTACACATTCACCATCGCTCTAACGATTAATTATAAAATCACCATAACTTCAACACCTAACACACTATCACTCGAACAGCCTCCCGAACACTTACCTGCACCCTCTACTACATCTAAGAATTCAAATACGTCCGTAACGCAAAATGGATAATAAAAGTCTATGGTACTAGCAATCCAGGTTTCACTTACTAATTAGTTTTGCCACCAGAGCGCTTTTTTTATTGTGTATTTCATGCTCATCCTCTGACTGCAAATGCGAAAATGGATATCAGAGGTCACATGAGCCTTTATCGGACCCTACCAGGCATAATTTCATCCCGAAAATATGTCATTTGCTATCTTACAATTGCTTCATGTCGCTAACGGACACGTTTTATTATGGTGTCTCAAAAACTAAATATGGTATCTCATTACCACCAAGAAAAATTTCCCATCACTGAGTTGCAGTTTCATCAACAAACATCATCGTGCAATCTACTAACCTTGTTACTTTCTCCACAGATATATTTAATTAACGTGGCATGTTCCGTTTCGATGTACAATTGATATGCTGGTTTCTGCCTGTACCGGTCTACTTCTTGATGTTTCGTAAACTTCTCGTAAAAACACAATTGTGCTGGATCTTCTCTTTATTTAATGCTTGTGTAGTTAATTAATCAACTTTGTCATGCTCCTGGAGGCATGTGCGGGAGGAAATCTATTGAAGATTAATAGTAATCTCTTTATTAATACTCTGTTTATATCTATGCATAGTTACACTCAGATCACAGGCTATATAGAGTAAATGAGGAAAGGAAGTTGGTTACAGTTAAATTGTCTGAGGTCGTAGATTCCACAGGTTTTGAGGACAAGACGTATGATAAGCAACTCAGTTTGTAAGGTGGAAGCTCGGCTATTAATCTTAATGCACCCTTGTATTATTCGAGCATCACTTACTACGTTCACAATTACCTATGCCATACGATCATCTAACTACCTAAGTGACGTGGGGTACTATCTTTTGTTACAGTACCTCCATTGGAGGTGGAGATTGAGGGCGTGGAAACCCCACTGAGAGCGGGCGTGGAAGCTACCTTAACGTGTAGGTCTTCGGGGTCAAGACCTCCAGCTGTCCTCGCTTGGCAGATCGACGGGCCCTCCAGAATAACTCCACTTCCGCCTCACGTGAGTGAATTTTTGAACCGTGCTAGTCTACTGTTTCAAGAACGCTGAATAACCTATTTACCCATGGTCTGTAAAAAAATTAACCTTGCATTACTTTCGTGTTGTCAGCAATGTCATGGAGACACTGTGGTGACTTGTTAATGTATAGTTGTATTGAATATCTGAAAAAAGCCGAAATTTTCTTCAGGCATATGTATTCAGCCATCTAATTCAATTCGAATTACATATAAAAGACTGAACTCTCTCTCTCTCTTTCTCTCTCTCTCTCTCTCTCTCTCTCTCTCTCTCTCTCTCTCTCTCTCTCTCTCTCACTCTCTCTCAGTCGACGCTTGATCAGAACATCGCCAGCAGGAGGGGTCGCCTTCTTCCAACACCAAAGGACGATGGTAGGACTGTCACCTGCACCGCGACCAACCCGAAGGTATCGCAGTACTCCCTCTCTGCCAGCACCCTCCTCAGCGTACAATGTGAGTACTACCATGAGTACAGCTATAGTCGTGGTGTTCCTTCTCTTTTTATTCATTTCCTTTGATCGTTTTAAACTCTGGGATAGGTTTCGCTCACATACTCTTCTCCTTGAGTTCATTCCAGCTGTTCTCTCTAAATAGAAATCCTGTGCGCAATTGTTTTTGGTACTGCTTCTGATGTAGTTTTATATCGTCTTTTCGTCTCACCAATCACTAATTCCTAGAGATTCTTCCTCTATATATTTTAAAGTAATCTCTCATATATATTTATAAATGGTTTTTATATCACTTCATTACCATCTTTCAACGATGGTGAATGTAGTATTTTCGGTCTTCACTGCTTATTTATATTATTTATACTTTCCAGATTGTTGGATTTGTTACAAATTTTTTTTTATTGTTTTTGTTTCCTTCATTGTGAACGCCATAAGAGAGCTGCATACACTATCTTGTGCCTAAAATTGGTAGTAGACAATATCATACGTTTATCACTATTCATATCAAGGCTATCCTAACATCTGCTAATGATACCTGACTCAGTAAAATAGCTTTATGTCTGTTATCACTGTTGGATATTTTTTTATAATCACATCGGCCATTTTTCACCAAGGCAAAGTGACCCGAAAGAAAAGAAATACTTTCATCATCATTCACTCCATCACTGTCTTGCCAGAGGTGTCCTATACTACAGTTAAAAATGTTCAACATATGAACATCCCCCCTTCAGAGTGCATTCACTGTACGTCCCACCTCCAGGACTCAAGTCCAGCTAACCAGTTTCCCTGAATCCCTTCATAAATGTTGCTTTGCTCACACTCCAACAGCACGTCAGATCAAGATAATAATTTGTCTCCTCTTGTTCCTATCTAACACACTCATTCACGCTTGCTGGAAGTCTAAGCCCATTGCACAAAAAAAAGCCTCCTTTACCCCCTCCGTCCAGACTTAGGACCATCTCTACCCTGCCTTCCTTTCAACACTGATTCATATGCCCTCCAAGTCATTCTATTTTCTTTCATCCTCTCTAAATGTCTCCACCACTTCAACAACCCTTCCTCTGCTATCTAGATAATAATTTTGCAAACCCCTTCTAATTTCCAAGCTACGTAATATTTTATATGTACGTGGAATGTTTTTATTCTCCTTTATCGCCATTACCAAATATTTTCTCCAATAAAAATGCATAGTCCTTTTATTTGTCCTCAGACTATCCCTTATCCCGTATTTTTTTCAGTCATTTTGATGTTGAGTTTTGTATAACTTTGCGCTGATCAGGAAACTTTATTTTATTTTGTTTATTCCCACCCGCAAATTGCATATTTTAATTTGAAATAACATTGAAGTCAGTATTTATCAGTGTGGCGTCCCATTTTTTACGATAACACACGATCACAACTTTTCTGAAACTAGGGTCTCACGGGGCTCTCATGAAAGAAATCCTTTATGTAAACCAATAGCTTTCCATTAACATTTCGTGTTCCATTTCCATTTTTTATAATTTATGAACTTTATCTAAAGCATTTTTAAACCTAAATGATAATCACTTCTCCCTAGTTAGTTTAATATCTTTATTATGCACCCCATACCCATCCTGTGGACGGTAGTCAAAAGATTACAAAGGTACATAATGGGCCCAGGGACAGGACCCCAAAGTTATGATAGCTGAACTAGTTACAAAGGTAACGAACTCCTGGTAGATCTGGTCACAATCATGGCAAGTTACAAAGGTAATGAATCAGCCTCACTCCTAATCTCCCTGGTTGTTCATGCTCTACTTATGTGGTTTCGTCGTGATAGCACAGGAAGTTATACGTACATCATGCTAACTAAAGATGGTATTTTTCTTAATTTTGATATTTGTTCTCGGTACACTACATCCAGTTATTTTCGTTTAATTAATATTGCTCTTACGACAATGTAATTTAAATCCCGAGTAGTTAGTAAGTTTTTTCATACTTTTAAAAACTCAAAGTGATGCATCATCTGTTCATCAACGTTCAATATTAATCTTTTTCGTCTTCTCTTGTCATTATGATTTAATCCATTTCATATATGGGTTCGAACCCTCGGATCTTTTCCTGAAAATTTAAGAGAATATTTTCCTGAGAAAATAATCTCTTTAATATTTTTCATTCACATTTTTTTCATCTTGAAATAAACTGTTTTTCTTCATTAGTGGTGGCGGTATTTTCTTCGTCGGGAAAAAATGGCTCTTGTTGCGGGTCGTCGTCATTTGATGATCCGCTCAGTGAAGCTTTGCTCAAATTACGGGACCGAGGCTAATCAAGCTCAAGCTTACCTTAGCTGAATATTCACCCACAACAACAACAACAACAAAAAAACTGCGTATTTTAAGATATAATTTTTTAAATCATCCTTAATCGTATGGATAATATATTTCCCGCGTTATACTAATTGTAAAAGTGTAATTCTCTTTTACACTTGTCTAGTCTTCTTTTTCGGAAATTTATCTTCTACTCTATTCCTGTTTTAATGTTTACCTTCTATCGAACATATGTTCCAGGATTAGATTGTCCTTTACAGTTCTTTGGCGCTTTCTGCTTCGTAATTATGGCATTTCTGTTTCTAAAATTTAACTATTTCTTTTCTTAGATTATAAAACACCACACACTACCGAAGACCAGCTTTCCTCTATATAATTATATACAGCCTCTTATATGGCCTGCCTATAATGTTTACCATCATGTTATGTCATGTCTGTCTGTAATGTTTACCATCGTCATGAATCATGTTATAACTTAAGATATGTTTTGTTTTCGGCATTGCATGATCAGTTTCTGTAATAGACTTCGCAGATTTTTAATGGAAGGAAAATTCTTCCTTTCCATTTAGTAACAGGTCCTCTTTCTTCTTTCCAGCTATAGAGGTGGTACTTCCTTTATATATATATATATATATATATATATATATATATATATATATATATATATATATATATATATATATATATATATATATATATATATATATATATGAGGGTTATAACTTATTTACAACGTAATAATTATGTATCTTAATCAGATGAAATTTTGCCCAAAAGCAAAGAAATGACCTTTCATTTCGGTATCTTTTTAGAAAATGTCGCCCCTAAATGAAAAAAAAGAGTAACGAAAACTAGTAACTTTAATACATATTGCATGGAACATTAATAACAAATGAAACAGTTTACAGCATCATTGTTATCATGTTTGTATTTATATTCCTACTTATTATTTAGAATAAACCGATTTGCAGTTTGTTTTTGTTTCTGCAGGCAGCATACAGTTCCTTCATAACTTTGATTCCACATTCAGCACACTGATTACTTCTTGGTATATTGAGTGCTGACGGCTCTTGCTTCCACTGGTTTCTCAATTAATTCAGTTTTTTTTTATAAGGTTTCAGTATTTCTAACAAATTCTTGAAGTCATTGTCATCGTACATCTGATCAGTAAACCAGTAATCTGTCCAGGTGTATGAAATGAATCTGCATATCTTCTCCAAAGTCTTCCGTCTTGTAGGTATAAGAATGAATGTAAGAACAGCTAGAATGGCTCTTGAATTCCAACTCGCATTGATGATGTTTGGAATTTTCTTAAAGTAAATCAAAGGAAAGTGTCTTTTTTCTTCAAAGAATCTAAACACTAGTGTTAGATGGAACAAAAACTCCATATAATTTTTCCATTCTGATATATGGAGGATCTCTTCTGTTCCATTAACAAACTGTGCCTTTAGTTTCTCATAAATATTCACCAGTTGGGATACAAATGGATACTCGATGTTTGAAAAACTGGTTTTAGCACCAAGATTTTCATCCATTACCAAACTGAGAATCCTGTCCAGAACGTGATGCTGAACTCTGATAAATTGTGGTTTGCCTGTATATAAAGTTGCTAATTAGTAATTTTCTGAATTGCTACTTATGATGAGTATCGTAAATATATATCGTGATTAATATTTTCCATTAATTTGAGTAGCCAATTAGTACTTTCCTGAGTTGTTACTTATGAGTAGTAATGTAGATATGTGGTTTTTCATAGTTTTTATTTAGGGGTGACCTTTTTTGAAAACTGAGAGGAATTAGAGACTTTTTCATTGTTTTTCAACAAACGTTCATCGATTTACGATACAGGAGAGGTTTTATTTGGAAAAAAAGTAAGAAAAGCTATAATCCTTTTTATATATATATATAATATATATATATATATATATATATATATATATATATATATATATATATATATATATATATATATATATATATATGCAATAAGATCACAGTAAACAGGTGATATCACAATATGCAGAACAAGCACAGTGAAAAAATAGTGAAATTCCAAGTGCTTTCGTGATTTCTCACATTATCAAGAAACTATGGAACAAGGGCAACTATGACACAATGGTAAATCTTAATTAACAAGTTCTGAAGAACTTGTTAATTACGATTTACCATTTCCAGTTCTTATTATCATTAAAATTATTAAACTTTGAATTGTTGATGCAAAGTTTGTATTCAATGACGAGTTTTACACTCAGAACTTTGGTACGGCAATGTCAAATCCTCTTTCACCTGTTCTTAGAAATCTATTCATGGAATTTTTTAAAACACGATTGCTTAACACAATCCCTCCTAATAGTGCTAAGTGGTATAGATATGTTGATGATATTTTATGTCTTATGCCTAACAATATAGATATAAACCATTTCCTTGTTAAATAGTTTAGCTGCTTCTTTAAATTTTACTGTTGAGTTCGAAGAACATAACTCATTACGTTCTCGAGATGTTTAACCTGTTGAGAGTAACAATGATACAAAACCAACAAATAACTGTTCCTATGTACACTATCATTCTTCACATCAGGATAGAGTTAAACTGTCGGTATTCTCATCAATACTTTTGAGACCTTTGCGTAGATGCATTCCAAAATTCTTGTTTGGAAGAAGAATTAGAAGAGCTCTCTTTGCCTTTTGATAAAAATATCATTACTGAATTGATTAAG